CTGACGCGCTGTGTCGACATGCAGCGAGCAGTCCCAGCATAGCTAAGGAGGACAGCTCGTTCAGGGCCAGAAGGGAGCTCAACAACGCGGGACGGGTACGATCCCGAGTAGTGGCTGTCGCTAGGTTGCGTGGTGGTGGGGAGAACGCTGCTTCGGCTTACAGCGGACAGCCCTGCCACGGCATAGAAAGAGATGGTCGGGCATGCCCTCGTGTATAAACCGTCGAGCCACGGGGTTTGTAAGCCAGAAAAAGGGCTGGAATGAGAAGCAGCAGAGAATTGCTACAGGAGGAAAGAGCAGCTCACTCACTCATCGTCCATGGCATGAGAATGAAGGAGATCATTCATAAACTGAGGAGGAACTGCCAGTCAGAGAACGAAAGGTTGGACATCCAGGGGGCAGAAAACCCTTTAACCCTGAACCGGAGAGAGAGGAGGACAAACGGAAAGTGTGGCGACAGGGCAAGGAGGCACTGAAAGACATCGGAACATCCACTGCGAGTAAGAATAGGTAAAGCAGGGGGCGTGTCACGAGGATTGAGACACGTAAAACAGGGGGTGGGGCGCGAGCATCGAGACAAGGGCGCAAGGGGTGGTGGGATAAGCAGAAGACATGGAGAATCCGACAAGAAAGCGGAAAAGATACGCTGGGGCAGTAGTAGTACTGGGGAAGAATTGTAAGGTGGGGGGGAAAGGCATAGCCAAAGTAGGATAGCGAAAGCAAAAGGGAATCACAGGGACAGGTTTCCGGGAGAGGGGAAGTGTTAAAAGGGGTGAAGAGGGTGGAGAAACGGCCCGAGGAAGTGAGGAGGGCAAAGTGATTCCCTACCTTTCAGTACGAAGGAGATACGTCTCTTCCATGCCTAAGGGTTTTGGTTCCTACCGTGCGCCGATATGTTACAAATAAGCATTCAGAGATTTTGTGGTATCGAGCTTCGTACCATCTTTGCGCCCTGCTCGGATAGACCCTTTTGCACACACACACACACACACACACACACACACACACACACACACACACACACACCGATGGAATGAATTGCCTGCAGAGTCATGCAGACTAAAAGGAGTGCAGGCTCCAGTTAATGAATATAGTGAAAGAACTGTGAAATAAATATACACTCCACTGATTCCATCCAGCCAATGCATCAAAAAAACCACTGTGAGTTCGATCCGGCTGAGTGGGAATGGCCCGGCCCGGACACAAAGTTATGAATTTCTGGGAATACACGGTAAAAGGGGCCTATCGAACCTCACGCCCGAACCTCCCTCTTGAACAGATACTGACCGGCAGATGGGAAAGGGACTCACCGCTAGATGCTCAGCTAATGCACGATCTATCGTGGACCACGTATGCCAAGATCATGCCAACAAACCTCAGATCTTTACAGTGGCAGATTGTGCACCGATGTCTCCCAACCCCCTATTGGTTGGTGTCCAGAACGAACTTGCAACAGAAGGGGCTGCTGTCCCCCATCTGCTCGTACTGTGGAAGAGCAACGCCGCCGGCCAGGGCAACACTGGAGCATTGTCTGCTCGCATGCCCAATGGTCACCCAAATATGGCAATGGTGGGACACAGCATTCCACGCCCTCATGGGGAATCACATCCCCTGGGACCTGGGTCTTCTGTTACTCGGCAAAAACCAGCACCTGCTCGCCCGTTGGCCCTCCTACGCAGTCAATCTCTTTTCCTACATGCGCCTTCACATACTAATGCTAGCATGGCGGGCAAGATGTGCCTTTGAAAGAAAAGACCACCAATTCGGCCTGCAACAAGGACAGCAGGCGGTGGAAGACGAAATCAGAGCCCGGACGCACGAAGCATGGAAAGAAATGAAACAGGCGTGCCGCAAGGAAAAGGAGCAGGCGGCCAAAGAAACCATCGTGCTCACCTACCGCAACCTGTGGCAGGACCCACACAACACATTTTCGGAACTGACCAACTCCCTGGACATTCAATGGAAACCATGGAGAACTGCTGAATCATCCTGGGACAGAAGACCTTTCAATTGCTTCGAGGTGCCCTTCCTCCCAACAAACTTTGTGATTGTTACGGACTGAGCACTGGACCAGACTACACCCCCCCCCCTCCCCCTCCTCCTCCCCTCCTCCCCCCCCCCCCCCCCCCCCCCCCCCCCCCCCCCCCCCCCTCCCCCCCCCCACTACCCGTCTGGCACGCTGGTCCTTCCTCCTGTGCCCCTGAGCCCCCATCCCTACGGAGAGGGTGTAACCTCAAGTGCTGCCTACAGACGACGCCAACGATAAGGAACGACATCATCAGCCGGCTGGAGGAAGGAATGGAGGATGTGATTCAGCCGACAAAACAAGACAAGTTACAGGAAGGACACCTAGTCAAATGCTACTCCTACGAACTGTCAAGATACACAGGGCTCTGGAACAACAGGGCCATTCACAGATGGCTCAACAGCTCCCAGCATTGCCCAACATGAAAGGGGAACCCAGAATGGATCTGTACACTGTTAGGGCTCTGTAGCATTAGGGTCATACACAGAGTGCATGAGAGCTCCCTATAAAACTTTGCATGATAAGGGAACCCAAAGGGGATCAGTACACAGTCATGGTCAAGAACGTTTTGGGTGCATCTTAGTATTGCTGACCCAGAGACTCTCATCATGATACACAAGTCTCAGTGACAAATGGATTGCTTAAGGGGTCCAAGTCTTGCTTTGTACAAGAGTGGATCCTGAATAACCCGGCCGAAATAACACAGTAAACATTACCTCCCTGTCATAAATGAAGTGGGACGCTGGACCTGGTTTCCAGCAGGTGCAGCTCCCCACCAATGGAGTTTCAGCATTGGGGGTTATAAGAAGGGGGGTTGCAGACACCGAGGATAGGAGCCCTGCCACTGGCGGCAGGGGGAGCATAGATATTGATGTACGGCGAACACCATCCTGGGTGGGACTAGGCCAACGGGTAGGTAGAGCTTTACAAAGTGGAAGGGTAACATACGCAGCCCCGAGGGAAAGAAGGATGCTCTGGAGCAAGAATTCTAATGGCCTTATGTCCGACAAACGATGTGCCACAAAGATGTATCCAATGGGACGCTGGACCCGATTTCGAGCAGGTGCTGCTCCCCACCAATAGATGGAGCCTCCCCGACGGTGCTAGATGTGTCTGCTCTTATCAGCACACCTAGCACCTGATCGGGTTGTTCTCAAAAAAAAAAAAAAG